CATTACCCACAACTCTTCAGAGACTAGTGACAACGAGATTGGAGCAGCTTCCTCTCCCCTGTTTTTTTCCAGGAGAGAGTGGGGAAAAGGAGAAAGGCGGGACTGCTGCCTGGTGCTCTCTTATAGGACACCTCTACCGGCACCACAGTTGGCCATGTAGGCATTTTGTTGTGATTTGAAAATTGGCTAGCTGCCCATGTATAACTGCTGCCAGAATAGCAGAACCCGGAAGTGTAATCCGTATATGACTTTAAAAAATCCTGTCCTTTGCCTTTCAAATAGAAGCAGAAATTTTATTTTACAGCAGTAGTTTTATGCCTGTGAAAGAGCAACTAGATTCTAGTGGAAGCTGCTTACGTATTTAAGCTGCAAAGAACAGTCGTGTTCATAATTAATGTTCTCTGCATCTCAGAGAAGAGCAGTTGTGCTGTCCCGTTACTTACACTCCACAATTGGTTTTACAGTGCTGACTAGTGTCCCTTTCTCAGATCAATGGGTACTGTTTTGTTTGTCAATGGGAAACTTGGAGGATGGTGTATATTTACTGAGCACTAATATGGCTTGTTGAGGAGGGTCTTTATATTTAGATTCAAATGTATTGTTTCTCCTGGATTTCCTCCTTAACTCTTTTAAGTTGTTGTTTGTTGTTGTTGTTGTTGTTTTTCATTCCCTTCCCTTCCAGGTAGCTTTATTCTTGCTGAGCTATGGTAGGGCATCTTAAAATTTAGTGGAAAAATCTATAGACTCACAGGTGACTCCTGTTTTCTTAGTCTTCCTTTGTACTGTGTTCTTTTTATTCTTAAGATTATAGTGTATTATGTATTTTAATTGCTCAAAATCGAAAATTAAGTGACACACATATACAAACACTCACACCCTGTCCCTTAAAGACTAAGATGAATTTTGTTTTATGTCTTTGCTTGACATCTCATTGAAAAGCAAGCTAATGTTGCCATAAATGTTGTTACGGTGGCTTAAAGAATAAGGAAATAAACCAGTTGTCTCAAGTTGAAGGGATTTTTAAGGCATGTATTCCAGGCAAAGGTTGTTAACCTTAAACTCATACATAGGTTTTTGAAAGAAGCTGAGGAGCCAAGTACTGGACTGTAGAAAATTTGGCTTGGATGTGCATCCTAAGAAATACTAGGGTCTGTTGGTTAGTGCTATTCCTTGGTTGAACCATGATGGCTCGCTCTCTCTCTCTCTCTCTCTCTCTCTCTCTCTCTCTCTCTCGTGTGTGTGTGTGTGTGTGTGTGTGTGTGTGTGTAGGAACAGAAACCTAATTACTGCCCTTTTGTGAGGGTTTCTGTTCCTGATTGTTAGTATTATTAGAGAATACTAATGCACCCAGGTTTAGAGAGTATTTATTGAAAAGTAGTTATCAGAAGCTGCTACAAAGGAAAGGCCAACTTAAGAATAATCAAGCCTTTTCATAGTTCACAATGCCAGGCATAAGTTATTTTTCTTAACCTCTTTGCTGTCATTTTTTCTTATATGCTTTCCACATTTGGAAAAATTCAGATACACAGAGTTTATAAAAGTGTAGTTATTATACATATTCATTGTCATGAATGAACTTGTCATGAATAGTTACCAAAATTTAAAGCATATGGAGTAAGTTGGATGTGTTATGTCACTTTTCGCTACTAAATATTCCTTCACACAACTTTAAAAATATAAGAAAATTATTAAAAATTGCAGCATCAAATACCCTATATGCAAATTTCCTTAATTATTTAAAAAGTGTTCTGGAGTCCCTAGAGCATAGGCAGGTGTTATGAGAGGATATGTCTTATAAACAGCTAATGTCAACAAGCTACTGCTAGAGTTGGAAAGGCTGCTGCTCTTACAGCAGATTTTTCCTGGACTTGTTTTCCTTTAAGAAGTTCAGAGATATTACTAAATTTTTTTTTTCAGGTTGTGATATTTTACCCTGAATTCATTAGCACTGTAGCCAAGAGAGAAACCAGTAAATGTTGGACAGGGACTCATACCTACCTATTTTTACTCAAATGCTATTCTTTAAATATTTTTTTTTTGTGGAAGAAAGGGTTTATTTCAGCTTAAAGCTTATATGCAGGGAAGCCTGGGAAGTAACTTAAGATAGGAAGCTGTCAAAAGCCATGGAGGAACACTGGTTATATGTGTGGTCTCCACGCCTTGCTCAGCCTGCTTTTTTATTTATTTTTTTATTTTTTTATTTTATTAGTTCTAGTTAGGGAACAAGCTTATTTCAAGTCCCTTCTCCCTCTCCCTCACCTCACCCCCAACCTTCCCCCCCACCCGCAGCCCACCCTCCACCCCATCCACCCACCACTCCCCAGGCAGGGTACAGTCTTGTACTGGCCTCCCAGACAGCATCTGGGGTCCATGTGCTCTCCCTTGTTCAGGTCAACTGTTCCTGTGGGTTTCTCCAACCTGGTACAGACCCCTTCGTTCTTCATTCCTCCCTCTCTCCAACTAAATTCCCGATTTCGGCTCAGTGCATATCTGTGGATGTCTGTCTCTGCTTCCTTCATCCACTGGGTGAGGGCTCTAGTTCCTGGGTCGGTCGGCGGAATGCTCTTTAAATATTTTTAAAGTTGAATCCCTGTGTGTGTGTTTTCAGGATAGAAATAGGTTTCTTTTATTTAAATGAACATATGTATAAATTATCAGTGTGTTATTTGTTTTCTTTTACATGTAATTATTTTGTCAAGACATTAGTATGGTTCAGAAAAGCGTAAGTTAGCATTCAGTAGCTTCCAGTTTGACCTTAAGTTAACCTCTGTAATCTTATTTTTCTACTGTTTTTTTTCCTAATCTTACTTCCAAAGTGACATGCTTATCTTACTCATTGTCCCTTTCCCTTGATTATGCAACTCCTTTTTTGTTTATGATTTTCCAATTCTGTCTAAGAATGCTCTTCTGCCTGTTGTCTCATTTTGAAATCTTCCCTGTTAAATATGACACAGCTCACATCTCTCACCAAGTGGACACAAATTCTTTAATTTATATGGCTTTCAATCTGTTCATGACACTTTACATTATCTGTGTTGGACCATATATATTTACCATTCCTATGAGGCTGTAAACAATTTGAGATAGGATCTCTGTGAGTGTATAGTTCCCATTGCTGTTTATTTAGCTGTTGCTTAAGAAATAACTGCTAATTGAGTAATTGAATATCTGATAATATCTTCGCTTACAGTAATGGTCCTTTCGACTCCACTAGATTAATTCATAGCTGACATTAGCTGTTTGGCATAGTGTATAATCAACTTCTACCATTACAGTTTTATTTTAAAGGTGACCATGCATAAGTTTATTGTAACTATTTTATGCTTGCTTTTAACCTCCTTCTTCAATCCTTTTTTGGATAAATTACTTAGCATATGGTTCTAGGAAGTTTTCATCAATATTGGGCTAAATATATTGGCATTTTCTGACAATCGTCCTCCTGCAAGGACCATTAAGAAAAATCAGAAGTGGGATGGGAATAGTACTGAGAAGGTTATGTCTTAGGAGATAACTGTTTCTCTGAGAATCCTGAATTTCAGTCAAACATATGCTAATAGTTTATGAGAGTCATATACTGAGATCCATGGGGGGGTAGTAAAATGGGATTCAAAAATGGTCATTAATAGTAGAGTCTCTGCATTTTGGTGTGGTGTGAATAGGTAGTCCATGGGAAAGATCTGACAGAAATTTCCAGAGGGGGAAAGATTGAACAGTAAAAACTATCTTGATATTTTAAATAATATTGCTAGGAACTGACATGAGAGTCATATGGGTTGGGCCATAGCAGAGGTTGTGTGTGGCATGACATTTTCTCCTTTTTTTTCTCATATAAGATGTTAGACAGGTCCACTGTTGTGTGCTGACTAGTGTTGTTTTACTGACTAGTACTGTCTTTCGGCCTTGTTTTTATAGACTAACCAAAAGGATGGATTTTACAGAGGCTTACTCAAGCACATGCTCTGCAGTTGGAATTGCTGCCAGAGAAGGCAATGTTAAAATTTTAAGGAAACTCCTCAAAAAAGGTCGAAGTGTGGATGTTGCTGATAACAGGGGATGGATGCCAATTCATGAAGCAGCTTATCACAACTCCGTAGAATGTTTGCAGATGTTAATTCAGACAGGTAAAGTAAATGCAAGGCATGAGAGGCTGTATATGTAAGCTAAAATAGTAAAATAAAAAGGTGGTAATAAGTGATAGCATTTGTTTCCTTTTCTATAACATTAAGTACCTCTTCTATTAAGGTTGGTAAGATTTCCGCCTTGGACGGTGTTCCAACTATAGACATCTATGAATATTGTCCTTTATATGGAAGTACTTGTACTTGATTTACTTATTTTATATCCATTTATTTACGTTCTTATTATGTACTGTGGTATGCCAGTGGAAGTCAGAGGACAGCTTGAGAAAGCTAGTTCTCCCTTTCCATCATGTGGGTTCTGGAGATTCAATTTAGGTCTTCAGGCTTGGCAGCAAGTGTCCTTGCCCTCTAAGCCATGTCACTGGCCCTTTTGTTTAATTTTGACTTTTTTTTTCCTTTTGAGAACAGGGTCTTACTGTGTAGGTCTGGCTAGCCCGGCACTCCTTACGTAGAGTAGGCTGGCCCAGAACTCAGGGATCTGCTTGCCTGTTCCTCCTGAGTGCTAGAATTAAAGACATACTCTACCATGCTTAGCCCCTTTATTTATATTAATTGTGCTAGATATTGTACAGTAGCTTGCTGTTTTAATTTCAGCATTTGAAAATTACTCATAATACATATTATTTTGTCTGGAAAATTAAATAAAACAAGGACTGTGCTAAGAGTGTTCTATTTGACCTAATCTTTTTTAAAATGAGAAATAAGGCTTAGCTAGTTAAAGCACCTGTCTAGTAAAATGAAAAATATTTATTTTTATATGAGTGTTTTGCCTGTATATATGTATGCACATCACATACATGCCTGGTACCCTCAGTGGTTAGAAGAGGAGGTTAGATTCCCCCCCACAGGTGGTTGTAAGCCATTGTGTTGGTGGTGGTAATCAAACTCTTGAGTCCTCAAAAGAGCAATGAGTTCTCTTAACCACTGAGCCATCTTCCCAGCTCCTAATCTGTTTTTTTTGTTTTGTTTTGTTTTGTTTTACACATTTCATTGTCCTTACTTTTGAAAAGCTTTCCAGTTACTTGTACTTTATATATGCAGTACAGCATGGTTCAGAGAATAGTGCTTATATTGTTAGGGGAGATAGATAAGAAATAGATAAAAATACAAATAAGCAGGATTGTTTCATTTTTGACAAAATAAAGCAGGAGTGGGATGGAAAGTGATGGTGTGGTATTGCACATATTTTATAATTTTGCATATGGAATGCTCAAAATTTGAACTATACTTGGTAGCAGCCAGTGCTGTCAACCTGGCTTCTTTCTCCAGGGACAGCCCATGAAGTTTAACCAGCACTCCACTGAATAAAAGGTCTGTGCTGGGGGGGGGGGTGGACTACTGATGAGGGAGTGCGTTTCCCCAGCTTGGTCTTGACCCCTTTGCTCATCACTCGCCCTCTCTACAACTGGATTCCAGTTCAGCTCAGTGCTTAGCTGTGAATCTCAGCTTCTGCTTCCATCAGCTACTGGATGAAGGCTCTAGGATGGCATTTAAAGTAGTCATCATTCTCATTATAGGGGAAGGGCATTTAAGGTAGCCTCTCCACTATTGCTTAGATTCTTAGTTGGGGTCATCCTTATGGATCCCTGGATATTTTCCTAGTGCCAGGTTTCTCACTAAGCCCATAATGGCTCCCTCAATTAAGGTATTTAGCTCTTCCTTCTCATCATTAGTTAATTAATTCATCCACCCATTTGTATCTATATGGACTTAGGGATATTTATTTTGCACTTTGGGTTATAGCCTTATATAATATTAATGTTGTTTTAAATAGTTTTGGCTAGATAGGCTCCCATGTCTTTTTGACTTTTTTTACTTTGTGATCCTGTAAATATGCTGCAAGTTCCTTTTGCATATTTGTAGACCCAACTCCAGAATCAGCCATTTTTATAAGACCTGATTTCTTTTTTTGGAGAATGATAATTAAAACTAAGATCTAGGGACTGAGTACCACTTGCGTATAATTGCTTTTAAGCCCTTTCAGGAGAAAGAAGTAGAGAATGTATTTATGGATTATAACATATATGTGTATGTATTATAGTTATTTCTATATCTATATTGTTATTACTTTTAACTGGTTCTGAACTGATGTCTGTAATCTAGAATCACATCCTAGATTCATTCTGGCTTACCATGTTGCTTATATGTACCCTCTCTCTTCAGCAAATCTGTAGTAAATTGTTTGATTTGTCTGTGCATAAAATAGTTTTGGAATTGTTCATCTCTGTCTTGTAAAAAAACCCAATCCATTATCAGCTACAGTACAGTGTTTATGAGTTATTTGTTTCCAAAACAATATTTTCATATTTTTGTAGGGCGTCATTTTTTTCTCTTCCTGCTTAGAGAGTTTATGATATATTCTGAAATACAATTAGATTTCTTCTGTCACAGTCTATATTCTGTTTTGTGGCTTCCTCTTCCTCCTCCTCTATGGTCAATTAAAAAAAAAAAAGAGGCCTTCCTCATTTTGGCTTTGTGAGTAAAGGTGCTTGCTGCCAAGTCTGGTGACCTGTTTGATCCTGGATTCTCACAGATTGTCCTTTGATCTCCACATTCTAGCTATGGCTCATGAATGTACATACGTGTGTGCATACATGCATGTAAATGAATAAGCAATCATTGTTATGTAAAACACTTCAATGGCTAGATTAAGAATACTAAGGTCTGGTTTTGTGTCAGTTTGACACAAGCTAGAGTCATCAGTGAGGAAGGAACCTCAGTTGAGGAAATGCTTCAGTGAGATCCAGCTCAAAAGCATTTTCCCAGTTAGTGATCAGAGGTGGAGGGCTCAGCCCATGGTGGGAGGTGCCATCCCTGAGCTATTGGTCCTGGGTTCTATGAGAAAGCAGGGTGAGCAAACCATGTGAAGCAAGCCAGTTAGCAGTACCCAGATCCTGTTTGAGTTCCTATCCTGACTTCCTTCAGTGATGAACAGCAATGTGGAAATGTAAGCCAAATAAATCCTTTCCTTCCCAACTTGCTTTTTGCTCATGACATTTTATCAAAACAATAGAAGCCCCAACTAAGACCAATTGGTACCAGAAGTGGGATATTACTGACAGGCAGACCATGCTTTTATTAAGGGATATGGACCTTGGGACTGAGGATTAAAACAGCAGTCAAATACTTTAAATGCTGCTTAATGGGCCATACTAGTAGGAGCATGGATGGCAGTGGTACTAAGTGTAATTTGATGAACTATGGAGGCCTTTGCTCAAGAGGTTGCAGAGAACAATTTTAGTATGTGGCCTAGAGATAGCTCTTGTGGTATTTGGTGAAGAATGTGACAGGCTGCTTTTTTGCGCTTGTCTGAAGAGTCTGCCTGAGGCTAAAGTGAAAAGTTTTGGATTAGTTTTGCTGGTAGAGGAAGTCTCCTATATAGACTTTGTTGTGTGGTTATTAGTGGAGACTTATGAAGATTTATAATGAAAAGGAGTGAGCTGAGCAAGGATGTAACAGGAATAATAAAAACCAGAGGCAGATATTGGTGTTCAAGAAGATCAGAGAAGCAAAGCAGCCAGTTACTAGCTCTTTCCTCTACCTCAGGCTGAAAGGACTGTCCTGTCCTCATCATGACTGGAGATTAAATCTCTGAGACTGAATATTGAATGTCCCACTCCTACCTTACATGCCTCCCTAGAGCTGGGATCAAAAATTACTCCTTTGTGTGAGCTGTTTCTCTTTTAGACAGATTCACTTTAATGTAACCCTAGGTGGCCTTGAGCTCACAGAGTCCAGCTGCCTTTTTCTCCTGAGTCCTGGGATTAAAGTTGTGTGCCACCAACCTTAATCTGGCTCTATGGGGTGGCTAGCTTTGCATTTTGATCTCTAGTGGCTTTATATATCACCATATAAGGAAACAAACAGATTAAGAAATGGAATAAAGGGAGTGATAAACTCGGGCAACATCCCACTCAGCTAAGTTTCAAATTTGTGGAAAGAAACTAAAGAAAAATTTAGAGCTGGGTGTGGTGGTACACACATTTAGTCCCAGCACTTGGAAAGCAGAGACTGGCAGATCTCTGACTTTGAGGTGCCACCCCAACCCCAGAATATCCAAGTTTAAGCAGTGACAGTAACCATCAAAAACAGAAAGTTGGAGCTGGGTGTTGGTGGCGCACGCCTTTAATCCCAGCACTCAGGAGGCAGAGGCAGGCGATCTCTGTGAGTTCGAGGCCAGCCTGGTCTCCAGCTTGAGTGCCAGGATAGGAGAAATGGGCTATGAAATTTGCCTCAGTGACTAACAAAAGTTAATTGAATTGTGCAGGGCTCACTCAAGAGTTTTCAGAAAAGAATTTTAGTATGTTGACTAGAGATCATTCTTTTGACATTTTGGTGAAGATCACCTTTTGCCCTTGTCCAAACAGTCTGCCTGGGGCAAAAGTGAAGAGTTTTGGATCAATTCCATTGTCAGAGGACATCTCCAATCATCCTTATAGATTTTGTTTTTTGGTATTAGTGATAATTCTAATGAAGATTTATAATAAAAAGAAGCAAGCTGAACAAGCTAAATTATAAAATGTAAAATTTAAGAAGAAAAGGAACACCAAAAAGTGGAATAAAGCTAAATCCTGTGTTCAAGGAGATAAACAGATTAAGAAATAGAATAAAGGGAGTGGTGACCTACTAAGGGCAAGATCCCACCCAGCTAAGTTTCCAACTTGTGAAAAAGAACTAAAGGAAAGCTGAGAGCCAGGGGAGGTAGTGCATATCTTAATTCCAGTACTCTGGAAAGCAGAAGCTGGTGGATCTCTGAGTTTGAGGCCAGCCTGGTCTAGAAATCCAGTTTCAGGACAGCCAGCTTAGACAGTGTATGACAGAAAGCTGGTGAAGATGTAATTGAACCAACAAGGAGGGCGGGCATGTTCTAGCCCAGCAAAGCAGCAGAACTTGGCAGCTTTGGCCACATGTTTCTAGATTTAAGGATAGAAGAAAGGTCATGGAATTTGTTCCCAAGACTAAGGGAAGCCCTTGAGACCAGGCATGTGTCAGGGGTGTCCCTGAATGGAGGCCAAGGGAGGCCATTGCACTGTATTGTCCTGGAGACCCAAGATGTTGGAAATGCCAGAGCCATGGAATACCTGCTGAGGAGAGCTGCTAAAAGGGAGTGGAACCAGCCCAAGAGAAAGAAGTATGTTGCAGTCAACAGAGGTGAATGGAATTGGAGATCTGAAGAGTGTTTTGACATTAGACAAGGAGCTGCAGAGTTTGGAGTTTGCCCAGCTGGTTTTCGGTCTTGCTTTGGCCCGGTATTTCCTCACTATGCTTCACTCCCTATGTTTTGGAATGGTAATGTATACATTATGTGTTGGAAGTATGTGATTTGCTTTTTGCTTTTGATTTTACAGGGGATTACAGTTAAGAGATTGTATGAATCTCCAAAGAGACTTTGAACTTTGGAGTTTTAAATAAGTTTAGGACTGTTTACGGGATGATGAGCACTTTTGGAGCTGGATTGATTGTATTTTTGGATTATGATATGGCTACAAGCCTTTGGGAGCCAGAGAGTGGAATGTAGTGGTTTGAAAGAAAATTATACCCAATGGGAGTGGCACTATTAGGATGTGTGGCCTTGTTGGAGGAAGTGTGTTACTGTGCAGGCAGGCTATGAGGTCTCATATGTCCCAGCTATGCCCAGTGACACAGACCACTTCCTGTTGCCTTCAAGTCAAGGTGTGGGACACTCTAGTACTGTGTCTGCCTGCATGCCACCATGTCCTGCCATGGTGATAATGAACTAAACCTTTGAAATGTAAGCTACCACCCCAATTAAATGTTTTCCTTATAAGAGTTGCTCAATAGAAACCCTAACTAAAAAAGAATTAATCTTCCTTTTCTGCACTATTGGAGAGTGTCCTTCCTTCTTTCCAACAAATGCCTTTCTTCCTGAAGGTTGCCCTGGCCTAGGATCCCATTGTCAGGTGTTGTGTCTCTGAGTCTTTTGATGCTTCTTTTTAGCACTTTCTTACCCTTAGAAGTTCCTTTCTTGTCTGTTTGCAGCAGTACCACATTGTTTTTCTTTTTCTATCTTTAAGGCATGGTTTTTATTGCACAAGCCTAAGCTTCCCCATATTTGTCCTGTTTTATTTTTTCTAGTTCTTTTTTTTTTTTTTTACCCATCCTTACCTATTCTCAGCAACCTGAGTCACTTTGCCAAGTTTAAAACCAACATGTAGTTCTAGCAGCATTTTTATTGAAATTATATTGAATTTCCTAATTATTTGGGTAAGAATTGTTATGTGTAATTTTTACATTGAGTAACTCTTTCTATTATTAATTGTATACATTGTAGTTTCTCATGTCTTTATATCCATAAATCTATAAGGTTTGTACCTGAAATACTGATGAATCTCTCTGTAAATTGACTTGATTAAGTATCCAATTCAGATCACCTCTGAAATACTGTTTCTATAATAAGGCACTTTTAAAGTGAATGCCTATATACTCATTTTTTTGTGTACCCTGTCAAGTGTGAGACTATTTTGCAAGTACTTACAATTGTGTTTTGGATGTTCAGGCTTAGAGTGCCTGGCCCATCAGTGAGCTATTATTATAAGATTTACTTAGCCGGGCCGTGGTAGTGCACACCTTTACCCAGCACTCGGGAGGCAGAGGCAGGTGGATCTCTGAGTTCGAGACCAGCCTGGTCTACAAGAGCGAGTTCCAGGACAGCCTCCAAAGTCACAGAGAAACCCTGTCTCAAAAAACAAAAACAAAACCAACCCAAAAAGATTTACTTAAAATAGATGACTAGTTTTTTTCAGGAGAGGTAGTTTCAATTCTATTCATTCAAGAACATGTATTTAGAAGTTCTTTGTTTTGCTTATTCCCACTTTCAGAAGCCTTCATCATTTATTTTTGAATCTTCTGAGCTTAGAGTTATTTTTATATGAAAGCAGAGGTAAGAAGAACCTCTTAATGTTATTCTGTGCATTTAAAAATACTATAAACATTATTTACATAATTTGAATGTTTCCAAAACCTTCAGTTTTTAATCAGAATTTTCATTTTAAGTCCTAAGCTTCTTGTGAATTGTATTGTTTGCTTTCTGTGAACTCTTTCTTTTATACGTGTAGTCTTCATTAATTTTCAGACTATGGTATTAAGATAGAAAAAGACTTGAGAGTGTCCCTGCAGAGTCATACAGGGAAGCGACCCACATGAAGTGATAAGAGTGAAAACCCAGTGCAGATTGACTTTGTCAATTTGGATCAGACTTCAGGGAGTCTAATAACAGGTGGTTTTTTCCCAATGTATTTAAGCCCAGTACAATTTGATAGAGAAAGTTTCCTGGAGTAATACAATCCCCATTACACAAGGAAGCATAATTACATTTAACTCAACTCAGGGTGCATGTCATTTCTTCCAAGATGATGTGTTCTAGAAATAGACTACCTGTACTAGCTTAAGGGCCTAGGGTTCTGGCCTGGTCTCTGTCTACACAGATAATGTAGAGGTCATTTGGGCTGTTAGCCACCTCTGGTGCTGGCTGTTGGAGATTTGGGGAGCTTCTGGCTATAAAGGTCATTTAGAGCCACCTGTGGTCTTGGCTGTAAGAGCTTGATAAGGCCTGGCTCAACAGATAATGCAGATCACTAGGGTATTCATCACTCCTAATTGTCAGTTTTCTGGATGGAAAACAGGCTTTTCATCTTTCTCATTGAAAAGACAAACCTGTGTGCTTAACGTTTCTGGTTTCTCTGAGGATCTGTGGGTACAAGGACCTTCATGCTATGCTCCCAACAAGGACTTTTTAAGGGCTGGGAAGACAGACAGCTGGCAAAGAGTTTGCGTAACAAGTCCAGGGACCAGAGCTTGAGTCTCAGCACCCAGGTCAAAATGATGGCCATGGTAGTGCTGTGGAGGTGGAGATAGAAGAGTCTTTGTGGTTCCTGGGCAGCCTGTCTGGCCTCAGTGTGAGCTAGCTCCCTTTCTCAGAGGAGGTGGATGCTATTAGTCAGATATAAGGAAGTAATGCTAGAGACTGTCCTTATAGAAGTTTGGAAATGAATTTGGGAATAAAATCAGGTTTATTAATACTTCAGTGAGTCTTGCTTAAATAAATATTTGTCAATACATCCGCCTCAAATCTTGCCTTTCAACCCCTGCCACTCCCTCTCCCCCTCCATCACAAGTTAGAGTAGGAAACCCTGAAGTGTGTTGTCAGAACATGGTTCAAGAATGGAGTTATGTGAGAATTCTGAATGCTTGTGAGACAACACCCCCCCCCCCAACGAAACAAAACAAAAGCCAAATTCAGTGATATCAGTTTCTTCAGAACATATGGTTGTTTTGGAATGTATTTTCATGCTTCCTCCCAGCTGCAGCAGATAGGAGTGAGTTTGCTTCGGATTATTCATAACAAATGGATATTGCCTCTATGGAAAAATATGTTTTTTTGCCATGTTTGGTTTGTCCTATTGATTATGCACTTTACTCGTGTAACTCCTTTTTTCTCTCTCTTTCTTTTTTCTTTCTTTCTTTTCTTTTCTTTTTTTTTTTTTTTTAAGATTTATTGTGTTATTTATGATGTTCTGTCTGCATGTATGCCTGCAGGCCAGAAGAGGGCACCAGATCTCATTATAGATGGTTGTGAGCCACTGTGTGGAAGAACAGCCAGTGAGTGCTCTTAACCACTGAGCCATCTCTCCAGCCCCATGTATCTCTTTTTAACACACAGGGTATAAATTGTCTGATGCTTTGAAGAAGTCACCTCCATTGTCTCAGTCCCTCTGCCTCTCGAGTGGTGACAGTGAATGAGCATAGTTTTTCTTCAAGAATACCAAAGGGTTATTCACATTGGAGCCCTTCCCTGACAACACAGGCATTTTAGTATTCCTTTCAATTCCTCATATAGTATTTGTTTTTCAAACTCAAGAAGTAAAACTTAAAATATTCTGGCTAATGTGTTTCCCTTTCTTCCACAGATCCATCTGAAAAATACATTAAGACAAAGACTTTTGAGGGCTTCTGTGCTTTACATCTTGCAGTGAGTCAAGGACATTGGAAAATCACACAGATTCTTTTGGAAGCTGGAGCAGATCCTAATGCAACTACTTTAGAAAACACCACCCCATTGTTTTTAGGTAATGTATGCTATTTTTGGTAAAGATTGACTTTTAAAAATATTTTTCTTAGTGAACTGTTATAGAATGTTTCTTTTGATTCTGAAACTGAAAGTCTATTTTTAGAGATTTCTCTCTTGTTTTTCTACTCTTGGGTGGTAATAGTATTCAGGACTTGAAACTGTTTATTTAAAGCTGCAAAATCTATTGTGAATTGAAGCTGCTCTGTTGCCCAGGGCAGTGCTGAAGAACAGTGATGCTTCAATTGGAGCAATCATTGCAAGGTTATCTGCTTCCTTGTTTCCTTTTTCTTAGTATTAAAAGATTAAGGTTATATGGAAGAAATAATTATTTGTTGCCTGTGAATCACGAGTCAGACTTCTGTAGTGTGGATCTGTTAATTCCTTAAGGACCACAGCCAAGTCCTAAACTGTACACTGCTAATAACAACTTTTTTTATTTTTATTTCCTCTTTCATTTTGGTTTTGTTGGGTTTTTAGGGACATTTTTGATTGACTGGTTGATTTAGATTGATTGAGATAAAAGGAAATTCAGAGGATATTGTTGAAGTAGAATTAGTATATCTAGACTCTAGATTTGGTCCTACCACATAAAACTTGAATGACCACTTATTTATTGTATGCTTGTTGCTTCATTTATAAATGAGAATATTGTATATTGTATCTATCTAGATTGTGTTATTCACATGAGAATTCAGCTTTAAGGTGTGTGTGTGTGTGTGTGTGTGTGTGTGTGTGTGTGTGTGTTCCCATACATGTATCAGTCTGTGCTCTGTCACTCTCTACATTATGACCTTGACACTGGTATTTCTTAATCCTCCTGTCTCTGTGCCCATAACCCTGAGGTTATGGCTGTATGGTCATGCTTGGGGTTTCATGTAGGTGCTGGGAGTTTGGTCTCAGGGCCTTGTGCTTGTGTAGAAAGCTCTCTTAGCTGCTGAGCCATCTCCCCATAGTCAGACTACAAAATCATTCCATCACCCACAAATTCCATCTTGTAGTTTTGTTTTGTTTTGTTGTCAGGGTCTTCTGTGTAGTTCATGTTGTGATCTTGAACAGGAGGTGGTCATCCTGCTTCTGTCTCCCAAGGGTTAGGATTAAAGGCATGTGACTACTACCATACTAGACTTATGTGCCAATTTTAATTTTTCAGCCCTAGATACTGATCTGTTCTCATTCCTCTAGTTCACTTTTCACAGAATGTCATGGACATGAAACAATGTTTGTTTTAAAACTTAGTATAATGCTTTTGGAACTCATCTGTGTTGTTGCAAGTATTGATGCTCTATCCCTTTTTATTGATGGATACTACTGTATTTCATTATATGGTTTACCATTGTTTTTCCATTTGAATTGTTTTCAGTGTTTGGTGAATATAAATCTGGTACAATTATTTGCATTCTGTTTTATGTGTGTGATTATATTACCTTTTTTCTAGGTATGCTAAGTATATGCTTACCTGTAGAGAACAATTTTGAGATTTTATAGGCTGCTTTACCACTTTCCGTTCCTTTCATTAGTAACTTAGAGTTTTGGTTGCCTCGTATCCTCAATACTTGGTATTTCTAACTTTTAAATTTAAGTCATTCTTTGTAGGGTTTAGTGGTATCTCACTGTAGTTTTAATTTGCATTTTCTAATTATATTAGAAATTTGGTGATAGCATTTTCTCATGATTATTTATGGTTTCGGTTTCTGTTTCTGTAGGTAGGTGATGAAAATAATTATTTCCGGTAGAAAGGGTTCTCATATTTTCCATTCAGATTTGGTCTTTTACCATTCTATGTAAGCACTTCATTTCTTTTCATTTCCGTATTATTATATTTATCTAAACCCTTTTGAGATTGCATTGTATTTCAGTGTAACCTTAAAAGCAATGAAAGTTCTCCTACCTGTATATATGATCAAAATCAGAAAGTTAATGTTGACAAAGCACAATTTGTCTATTTAATTTTAAAAACACTATGTTTATGGGGTTTTGCGTTTATGTATGTCTTTGCACCATGTGTGTGCCTAGAACCTGTGGAGGGCATCAGAACTGGTAGTAGAAATGGGTGTGAGCTGCGGTGGGTGCTGAGAGTCAACCCTGGTCCTCTGGAAGAGCAGACAATGATCTTAACTGCTGAACCATCTCTCCAGCCTCAAGTACTAGTATTTAATTTTCAGACCTTTTTCAGTTTTTAAAGTTGATTATCAATGTTCTTTATAGTGAAAGAAAAAGTGCCTGTTGGTCTAGCATCAGTTGTTAACATTCTTGTGTCATGTTTCTTTGGTTTCCTGTTCTGAACAGACAGTTGGTCCGGCATCACCTGTGTTAACCTTTGTGTGTCATTTCTCCTGAGCCTCCTCTGATTCTGAACCACTTTTCAGTTTTCTGTGGCATATACATTTTTTTGAGGAATGCTGTTTAGGGTCTGTTGTTCCGTTTTCAAAGAAGTTATGCTCTTTTGGATGTTGTAGGACTTGTTGAATGCCCAGATTTTACTGAGTCTATTGTTAGAAGTTAGTAAGGATAAAAGCAGAAGATCAAGTGGGTTGTAAGGAATAATATCATCTTCTTAGGTGGTTGACTAGAAAAATCAGTATCAGTGAATTGTTGGGTATGATTGTGACTGAACAAAAGCCTAAATGCAGAGAGTCAGAGAGTTGATAACTATGTGGAATGAGTTTGCCAAAATTTTAATACAGATGGCTTTGCTTTTCCTTTATTTTTTATTTTTCCCAAACGAGATGTTTTGTTCTAGCTCAGGCTATCCTGGTCTGGAACTTACAATGTCAAGATAATGTGTCTCAAGTTGGCTTGAACTTTTGGCGGTTCTCTTGCCTCAGCCTTCATGGTGCTGGGATTACAGTTACAGACACATTCCACCATACTTGGGTGAGGATGGAACTTTTCAATTTGGTGGTAGCACTTAGCATGAGAGAACAGTGTACGAGAAAGGTGAGATTCAGGAACCATCTTTTCATCTTTTGGTTGCCAGCACAGTTTAGGTTCCTCCCTTCCTTTCTTTTCCCTCTTCCCGGCTTTCTTTCCTTTCTGACAGGTCTTGTTGGGCAGCTTAAGCTAGTCTCAATCTTGAGATACTCTCATGTAATTGTGAGTGCCTGGTTACAGGTGTGTATCTGCTTTCTTAGTTCCTTGTCTTCCTTGTCCATGTTCCTCTCTCTTGATCTGTGGACATACAGATAGTCAATATTCTTACCATAGCTATAAAACAACTGCTTTCAAAATAAAAGTACTCCTATCATAAATATAATGATTTGTAAATGAAAACCCAGCTAATTTTTTAGGAAGTAAGTTTTTTTCTTATTTGTTATATTTAAATGTCTGATAAAGTAGACTCTCAAATCCAACCTACATGTGACTTCATAGAACCATTTCTGTGGGAACTGCCCCGCACACACAGTTGGCTTGGGATACTTTTTTTTCTTTCCTGAATCTTTGCTTATTCTGTGTAACCTTCAGTATTAAACATAGGAGCAATGTTAGAATAAAGTGTTCTCTAAACAATGTTATGTGAGGCAGCCTGTTTGAATATTCAGCTTTGGAATGTGTCATATTTTGGTTCACAAGGCTTGTCCTTTAACTCTGATTCTGTTATTTGCTTTTTACCTGTGTCTTCATGGATAAATATTAATTATTAAATGATAAGAATTTGCTGTTTTTATCTTGATATATATTATATTGATATTTACTTTGGTAGTTTTTCTTAGTTTTTTCAACTGAAAGATTAATCACTTCCTTAGGAATTTTAATGTGTTTCTACTTGAGAACATTTTAGTTACTGAAAGTATGAATTTGACTTTTCCCAGATAAAAAGTATGGAGTTCATTAAGTGTTATACAGAAAAAGTATTCACTTTTAACTGTTTACTATGATCTGTTTATATACTTTTATGTTTATAGTTTATGTTAATTTTGTTTTTAAAATTTGCATGCAAAGTATTAGGCTTCCTTATGGCATTGTGGGATAATATTTTTTGTTTCTGATGTAACTTTTTAGTTTTATGTAACTTTCTAATCTTGTACTTCATGTGAACTTTTGCTGGTTCTTTTTGATAGTTGATGTTATAAAAAAGTGTTGTTGCTTGAATAGCTATTTTTAGGGGGGTTTATAATGGGAAGGAGCAAGAAGCATATTTCATGTCAACTACAGCTTTTCTTTTCAAGTTAGGATATGGGTGTGAGTTTACTACTCTAGTACCATTTACCAGTCCATAGGAGCTGGTATTTGTGGAGTTTTTCAAAGCTTTCCTTTCTGAGATAGCTGAGACATACATTCTTACAGACAGAGCTTTTCTGTGTGGTTCTTTGTTTAGACCCAACTCTTCTGATACTGCCTGGAGCAGTTAGATTCTGTAGATCAGTCAGTGCCCCTCATCACTCACAGGTATACTCCTGTCCTCCCTCCACCACTGCCTTCCTCCCTCCCCGGGTCATTATTATTATTGACATCTAGTTTCTTGAGTTCTTTATATATTTTGGATATTAGTCCTCTATAGGATGTGAAGTTGGTAAAAATCTTTTTCCATTTTGTAGACTGCTGCTTTGCCCTATTGACATGTCCTTTGTATTACAGAAGCTTTTCAGTTTCATGAGGTCCTATTTATTTGTTGAACTTAGTGTCTGTGCTGTCAGTATGTTCAGAAAGTCTTCTCCTGTGGCAGGGTATTCAAGGCTCTTTCTCAGTTCCTCTTCTATTGCATTTGGCATATCTGGTTTTATATTTTTATGTTGAGGTCTTTGATCCACTTGGACTTAAGTATTGTTCAGGGTGATAAGTATGAATCTATTAGCATTCTTTAACATGCAGATACCCGGTTTGACTGATTTGTTGAGGATGCTGTCTTTTTTTCCAGTGTGTAGCTTCTTTATAAAAAGTCAGATGCCTATATGTTTGTGGATTTATTTCCAGGTCTTCAGTTTGATTCCATTGACCAGTGTATATGTTTTTTATGCCAAGTAGCACATGGTTTTTATTACCATAATTCTGTAGTTCAAC